TGTATTTTATCAGACCACACTGCGATGAAATTGGAGATCAACAGCAAAAGAAACTGCAAAAACTTCATAAACACATGGAAATTGAACAACACACTTCTGGATAACCAATGGGTTACAGAGGAAATTAAATGAGAAATCAGACAGTTTCTTCAATTAAATGACAATGACAACACAGCATATCTCAATCTATGGGACACAAAGCAGACTTACAAGGGAAATTCTTAGCAGTGAATATACATATTAGGAAAACAGAGCATGCCCAATTAAACAACCTGATGCTGAACCTCAAGCTCCTAGAAAGAGAAGAGCAGCACAAACCCAAAGCTCATACAAGGGAGGAAATTATAAAGATCAGGGCAGAAATCAATGCAATGGAGGCTAAGAAAACAATACAAAAAAATCAATGAAGCCAACAGTTTGTTCTTTGAAAGAATCAAAAGATTGACAAACCCTTAGCCAGCCTTATCAGAAAAAGGAAAGAAAAGGCCCAAATCCATGTAATTCGGAATGAAAAGGGTGAAATTACAACAGACCCAGCAGAAATCCAGAGGATCATCAATACCTACTTCAAGAATCTATACACCAATAAGATGGAAAACACAGAAATGGACAGATTCTTAGACACATATGAATTACCAAATTTGAATGAAGAAGACCTAAAAATTCTAAACAACCCAATATCAATCAATGAAATTGAAAATGTAATTAAAAAATTACCAACCAAGAAAAGCCCTGGTCCTGATGGCTTCACTGCTAAATTCTACAAGACATTTAGAGAGGAGCTACTGCCACTACTGTTTAAACCCTTCAATGAAATTGAAAAGGAAGCAGTTTTCCCAAAATCATTCCTGGAAGCAAGCATCACCTTGATCCCCAAAGCAGAGAAAGATCCAACGGAAAAAGAGAACTATAGGCTAATCTCACTAATGAACATAGATGCAAAAATCCTTAATAACTTAATGACAAACAGAATGCAGAAGATCATCAAGAAGATCATACACCCTGATCAAGTGGGATTTATCCCAGGGATACAGGGATGGTTCAATATACGAAAATCAATCAATGTAATACACTATATCAATGGAGCCAAGGACAAAAACCATATGACTATCTCCATAGACACAGAAAAAACATTTGACAAAATCCCACATGCATTTATGATAAAGACACTACAGAAAATTGGAATTGATGGTCTCTCCCTCAAACTGATAAAAGCCATCTATGAAAAACCAACAGGCAATATCATACTAAATGGTCAAAAACTGAAACCTTTCATACTAAAATCAGAAGACAAACTTGTCCACTATCACCACTCTTGCTCAATATAGTTCTGGAAACATTAGCCATGGCAATTAGACAAGAGAAAGAAATAAAAGGAATACATATAGGAAATGAAGAATTCAAATTATCATTATTTGCAGATGACATGATACTGTAAATAGGAGACACCAAGAAAGAAAGCAGTCTTACTGTCTTCTGGCTTTTTTTTCATCCAGGCCATAAACCTATTTGTTGATCACACACACACACACACACACACACACACACACACACACACACATGGGAAGGGGAAAAAAATAAGAACCAAGATACTCATGTAATGGTACAAGATCCCAAATATGAATGTAACTGTATTTTATACCTAAAATATACCAATAAACTAAATGGGAAAAAAAAAAAACTTTAAATGATGATGGGAAAAAAAAATTCTACCTGTGTATGTATATGTGTATTTGTTTTTTGAATTTTGTTTTGCAGGACTATACAGAATGAATGAAGAGCTATAACACTTAGGTATGTCCCAGATGTTTAAATTTTTATTGGATACAAAATCTCATTAAGTTTCCCAACCTGGACTGAAAATCACAATCCTTTTACCTCAGCCTGCAAGACTTCTAGTATAGTTTTAATTAAGTAATTTCATTGGTACATTTTATGTATAGAATATACTGACATTCATCATTAGAAATTCGCACCATTGCATAATCTGTCTTGGTTCTTATTTTTCCCCATTCCCCTGCCCTCTCTTCAACCCCTACATCCTCCCTATTTACAGAAACTTTGTTTGCATTTTTTAGTATCTCATATTAATTACATTTCCTTCTTTCCTTTTCCCTACCCCTCCAACTTACCCCTCCCCTTTAGACCATTTCTTCCTACTTCACATTATCAACTATAACTTTAGTCTTTATTTACACTTTCCATTTCTTACACTAGAGAAATTACTTGATATTTACACATCTATGTGCTATTTATTTCACCTAAAAGTATGACCTCAATGTACTTGCATTTAGCTATACATGTCTCTAATTTCTCATTTATCATGGCTGATTAGTACTCCATTTTATTGAAAAACCACATTTTCTTTATCCATTCTCCAGTTGATGGGCTATAGTAATGCTTCTAAATTTTAGCTATTACAAATTGTGCCAATATTAACATGGGTGCACATATATCACTGTGGTTTAATTCTTTTATTTATTTGGAGTAATACCTGGGTCAAGTGAGACTTCCAGTCCTAGTTCTTTGAAGTATCTACATACTGATTTCCATAGTGGCTGCACCAGTCTACACTGCCACCAACAATGGAGCAGTGTTCTTCTTTCCCCACAGGCACACCAGCATTTGTTATTGGTTGAATTTTTGATAGCAGCCATTCTTTATGGGGTGAGGTGGTATATCAGCATTTTTGTATTTGCATCTCTCCAACGACGAGTGATATTTAACATTTTTCATATGTTTATTTGCTATTTCTATTTCTTGGTCTGAGAAATGTCTGTTCATTTCAGATCCCTATTTTTGGATTGGGTCTTTAACTTTGGGAGTTCTGATTTTATTAAGTTCTTTGTAGATTCTAGATAGTAGAACTTTGTCTGAGGAAAAGCAGGTGAAAATTATTTCCCAAACTGTGGGTTGTCTCTCCACATTGTTGCTGGTTTCTCTTGCTGTGCAAAAGCTTTTTAATGAGAAGAGATCCCACTTGTTGATAGATTGTGCTAGTTCATGGGCATCTGAGGTTTTGTTCATAAAATATTTTCCTCCACCAATGTCTTCAAGAGTTCTACCTAACCTCTCTTCCAGCTGGTGTAGTGTTTCGGTTTAATATTTAGATCTTTAATCCATTTCAATTTCCATTTAGTGTATCATGAGAGACATACATTTAGTTTTATTAATTGGAAAGGTGAAATCCAATTTTTTCAGCACCATTTATTAAACAGGCTATTTTTCCTCTAGTGAGGGTTTTTGGCTCCTTTGTCCAAGATGAGGTTTCTGAGTGTGTCTGGAGTTATTTCTGCATCTTCTAATTTGTTGCACTGGTCCTCAGGTCTATTTCTTTGCCAGTACCATTACCATTCCTTCATCCCTGGGATGAATCCCACTTGGTCAGGGTGCATGATCTTCTTGATTATCTTCTGCATTCTATTGGCCAATATCTTATTAAGAATTTTTGCATCTATGTTCATTAGTGAGATTTACCTATAGTTCTCTTTTTTGGTTGGGTTTTTCTTTGCTTTGTGGATCAAAGTGATGCTTGCTTCCAGGAATGAATTCAGGAGTATTGCTTCCCTTTCAATTTCATTGAAGTGTTTAAACAGTAGTGGCAATAGCTCCTCTCTAAATGTCTTGTAGAATTTATCAGTGAAAGCCTCAGGACTTGGGGTTTTCTTAGTTGGTAAGTTTTTAATTTCATTGATTGACATTTGGTTGTTTAGAATTTTTATGTCATCTTCATTCAATTTTTAAATTCATATGTATCTAGAAATGAGTCTATTTCTTCTGTATTTTCCATCTTATTGACACATAGATTCTTGAAGTAGATATTGATGATCCTCTGGATTTCTCCTGCATCCATTCTAATTTCTTCTTTTTCTCTCCTAATTGCATGGATTTGGGTCTTTTATTTCCTTTTTCTAATAAGGTTGGCTAAGGCTTTGTCAATTTTGTTTATTCTTTTGAAGAACCAACTCTTGACTTC